AAAAATGACCCATACAACCCTTAATGAATAAAAAGTTCATAAGAACAGCATTTATTTGAAATAGAAAATATTTTGTATATAAATGTATAAACTGTTACATTTCATCAGTTTAATGCATCCTTACTAAATAAAAGTATTTACAAAAACCTTTTAGTAAAAATGTTATTAAACCCTCAATTGTAAACAGTAGTGTACATTACTCAACATCAAAAAAGTAAAATCACTATTAGATCATTATTAGAAGCTACTCTTACAGAGGCATAAAAAAATACTTTACAAATCCATTAAATCCTCTAGGATCAACGAAAGTCAAGAATGAAAAAAAATTCCTTAAAGGAGAATCCAGAGGGATGTTTTTACCTTCAGGATCCAGCAGGCGTGTGACGCCCAAGTCTCTTTCTGCTACGCTGAAGGCCTGCTCCAGATTCTCCAGGTTGGTCTGTCTGTACACCTTATTCATGTCAATCAAATTTGGTCTACAACAAAAGACAGGAGACACAGAACGCAGTTAGAGGTGGACACTGACAGAAATATAACCCCAGAAGGGAAACATAAGAAAATATAAAGATTGCACACACTTTATTTCAGTGCATTGATTACATAATACATCATGCACCAAATCATAAACTGCCTGTTTATTAACTTATTTTTTTTACACAGAGGCTGCTCATTTGGTTAATTATTTTGTATTTTATCGTCTGCTATGTTTAAAGAAAAAACATTTCTGTTAGCAAAAAAAAATTCCATAGGTATGTGAAATTTCCCTAAGATCTCATTTGAACGCGTAATGCAGATCTTATATTTAACTGCACACTGCTTGGCCAAACTGCAGGCTATGTAAACATCTGTGCCAGTATCTGGGCAGGTGAAGGCAAGATTGATAGCTCTTCACAGGATTTGAAAAAAGCCTGTCTTATGTGACTAAGTACTCACTCAACCGCAATCACTGCAAGGCGCCAAAAAACAATTACAGTAAAATACTACGTGCACATACAAGCAGCCTTTTAACTACATGGAAACCTGTGCAAGTTCAACAAAACTACATTTTATAGCAAATAACAACCCCAAATTACCAAAGCAGTTGACTAAATTGTCAGTGAAATTCCAAAAGTTACAATGACAAAGGCAGCACTGCTTAGCTTAGTTTTTTCCAAAATATTTTTAATGAAAAAACGAAGCATTCATACGACTCATTAACTGTCTGTGTGAGCAGGTAGCACGGCTGGCCCCAGGGAAGTTCGGCATCTGAGACGAACACCTTTCTGTAAGAAAACCCATCTCTACTTAGGGT